CATTTTGACAGTATATATAGAAAAAGGGAATAGCTGTTATCACTTATTTTATTAGGGGGAAAATATCAGTCTTAGCAACAACCCGATGAGAATGATTTAAAAAGAAACAAAAAATAAGGTAGTAGGCTTAAGACCATGGGAAAAATAATGCAACCACTAAGAGAGGCAAAAGATGGGGAAATGAACGATTGTCAGTTAAAAAAAAAAAAAAAAAAAATCCATGTTCCTTGAGAAAATGGCTGATTTCAGGGTGTCAGGTCTGGAGCAGCAGAGTATGGACAAGATACACTTAGAATATCTTGTGCCAGAAAAGTAAAAAAGGTATTTGAGTTTACCGGGCCATTTAAAAAGTATACAGGAGACAAGGACAAACCAAGCACCAAAAAAGTTATTGACTGAAGTGACAGAAACAAATACATTAAGATTCATAAGTTCTTAATGACACTTAAAAAAGGAAAACTCACTGGTTCTCAATGGAGGTTGTTAAAGCACCAAATTATTACTCTGATAGTTGATAAAAGGAAAAAATTAAGACTTTTCCCTGTCTATCCTGCACATTGTGAATTTCAGGAGACCTAAATAATTTATGAGAGAAAGTTCTTTATAGACAGAATTCCAATTAATAAATGCAAGAAGAATGATGGATTTAGATCATCACCATTTTGCAACCCCTAATGAAAAGGATCTAGGCTACAACCATCTGTGATACTAAAATCATTAAGTAGAAGGCAGACAGCTAAGTGACACTACCTAAACTCACTAATCAATCTTTCCGTCTCAAAAAGAGAGATATCCAGACATTATGTGTCTCATGATGTGATGCAACAGATTTTACACAGCACCATCAATGAAGGTTACTTGTCTTTGAACCTGAATCTAGTCAAACCTCTATATCTAACTGCCAGATCACAGGAAACAAAGAATAGAGGAACAAGCTAAACACCACCACAAGCAATCAGTCCAGACAGTAGGATGTTCTACTGCACAGATGAACCACTCTCTTCTGCAAATTAATGGCATGAAGAAAGGGAGGGGAAGCTGCTATAAAATAAAATAGATTTAAAATCCTAACAACTAAATACAATATGTGGACCTTGTTTAGCTCCTATTTCCAACAATCATAAGTAAAAAGACATCTTCGAGAAAATTTGAATATGGAAATTATATGTTTAAATTATTAATATTTTAGGTGCGAAAAGGCAAAGTTTTGCTGTTGTTTTTAATGTCCTCATCAGGACCGTAAACTGAAAAACTTGTGAGTAAGACCACATGATGTATAGAATTTTGTTTTAAAATACACTAGCCCCTACAAAAGTGTATGAAGGAGGAAAATAAATGAAACAAGACTGGCAAAACGCTAATAACTGTTGAAGTATAGGTGTTCATTGTACCATTCTCTCATAATCTCTGTTATACAATTTAAAAAATTAAAGGTTTTGTCAGGAGCTCAGGTTGTGCATTACCTTGCTTCTGATTTTTAGCAGGTGGTTAGGGCCCTCCCACAACGTACAACTTAGTCTTTCCCTCATTTGCCCCAAAGAAGTGCAAAGATTCTTAACCAGTATGCATGCTGAATTCAACACAACTAGAAGTGACTGAACTGAGGAACCAAGGAACTCAGGTATATTAACCAAATGACAGTTTGATTTTTCCTAGTAAGAGATAGCCTACAACATAGTGAGACCCCCAGTCTCTAAAGGAAATAGGAAAAAAAAATTAGCCAGGCATGGTGGTGGGTGCCTGTATCCCAGCAGGAGGCTGAGATAAGCCCAGAAGGTCGAGGGTACAGTGAGCTGTGATCACACCACTGCACTCCAGCCTAGGTGACAGAGCAAAATCCAGTCTTAAAAAAAAAAAAGCCTACAATGCACCTGGGTTGTTGAGCAACACAACCCACAAAGAGCTTTGTTAACGTCAGTTGATGTCAGATTGTCCAGGTTTGTGGGAGCCCAGGGGCAGCAGGGACAAGGACCGCACATATTCCTAAATCAGATCTTGGTCTATAATATAGATGAAAACTCAACCAACTTATGTAACGCACAAAGCTGAGTCTTTATTAGTGGTAATGAATTTCTGTTAACTTGTCCCTGAAGTCACACAGCTCCAGTCTGGAGGTATGGCCCACGAGACACAAAGCTGAAGGTCTACAAAAAGATCCAAACCACGATTTGTTTGCATTAGCATCACTGCCCAATCCAAGGTGGTTAACCAGACAATCCCAGATGCTAACAAGTCACCAACTAACCAGTCTGGTACATATTCTACTTGTATCTCTCTTTCTTTCAAACCCCTTGTGTTTTGGACTGTTATGTTTATGCCCCCTACAAAATTCTTATGTTGAAGCCCTAACCCCCAATGCAACATTATTTGGAGATGAGGCCTTTGAGAATTATTTAGGGTCAGACTAAGTCATGATGGTGGGGCCCTCATGATGGGATTAGTGGTCTTATGAGAAGAGGGAGGCCTCTTTTCCTCTGCATATACCAAGGGAAGGCCATGCAAGGATATACGAGAAAGTGGTCATCTGCAGGCCAGGAAGAGGGCCCTCACCAAAAACCAAATCAGCCTATACATTGATCTCAGGTTTCCCAGCATCCCGAACTGTGAGAAAATAAATTTGTGTTGTTTAAGCCACCCAGTCTATGGTATTTTGTTATGACAGCCTGAGCTGCCTAAGATAAGTTCATATTTCACTTGTTTTTCTCCTTCTTTCAACCCCCTTCCTACTCCTCTGATAGGGAAGATTCCAAAATCACAAAGGTGGTTCCGAGGCAGAAGAAAGGGGAAATAAATAGTCAAATAAACAGTCAAAGAAGTATGGGTTTCCAACATTGGAAAAATTGACAATCAATCTTCCTTCAATAAAAACTGGTCATGCACTTCCAAAATATGTTTGGAAAGTCCCAGAAAGAGGTGATACAGTATTAGAATCAAACAGGGTTAATAAAACACACATTATTTGAGGTAACCACATTCAGAGTAATCAAAAAATAAAACTAAATAGGTATATTGACAGGTATACAACATCATCCCAGGCAGCAAGAAACATGAGTATGAACGCAAATGAATACTACAGATCTATTTATACAGAAACCCTCAGCAATTCTTGTCGCAGATTGCCTGGCGGCCCTCATGTCTTCAGTATTCTGTGCCATGAAAAAGTAACCGTCAAGGATAATAGAAACACAATTTGACCTGATTTTCCCTAGATTCCTGCAAAGTCTATAACTCCGGTTCTTGTTTATTTCAACACCACATCCTGGGGACACGTTTCCTCACTTACTTTGCAGGCAATCCTAAATGCCACATGTTAAGGGCACTTGTGGGCAATTCCTAAATGCCCTATCACACCCAGAGAATCCTCAGAACATCTTCTGAGACGGACCTGGGATGCACCATTTTCCACCTGAGGTGGAAAATGCCTAGGAAAAGAGAGATGCGGCTTCGAGAAGCTGAAGACCTACATTAGTTCAGACCCTTCCCTACCCAAAGGCGGGCGCATCAAAACAAGCGGTTATCCCTCGCTCTCAAGTTTACACAAACCCATCTCTGAAAGAGCTAGAAATCTCCCAGTAATGGCTTGTTTTAAGGCAGACAAGACTGCATTTTAAAAACTACAGCCTAACAGGAAAGAAAGCTACATTGTGGCAGCTTCTCATTAAAGACCACTTAATAATAAATTTTTAAAAGATGAGTAGAAGCCACCAAAGGTGCCGCCAAGCCCTGGTGAGCAGGGAAATCTGAGTAAGTCTGCTCTGTGTCCTGAGGCCCTGGCAGGGCCTCCTGGGTGGCTTCTTAAAGATCCCAGGAGACAATCAGCAGACCTTCCTGCTTCTCTTAAAAATACAAAACATGCCTGACCTGCTCGGGTCATTAGATGCACTTAGAACCCAATGAGGGACACTCCTTCACCAGGAAATCATATCTGAACACACCATCAGGAAGTCAATATTGAAGGTTCTTGGGGGCGTGCACCCTCCTGCTCAAGAGGGTGTCCAGGAGTATTAAGTGGTGGAGACACCGGAACCCAGGAGCTAGAAGCTCACCCAAGAGCTTCCGACTCCTCGGTCTCCCACTCGGCGGTGGAGGCCACCAAAACCAGTCCCGATGCCCAGAGATTGCAACGGGACCTCCAAAACAAGCACACATGTCGCAGTCGCATGCGTCCTGCAAACTGGATGCCGCTCGTGGGGCCTGAAGCTTGCGTTTGGGACAGGGCTGGCTGGCTGTTGGATGCTGGACACCTGCAGCTTCGCCTCAGAGAAGAGGCAAACAGCTCTTCTTCCGCCGATGCCCAGCCCCACAGCCTGAATCCGGGGGCCCTGGGGTTAAGTCAGGTGCAGCTTGCGGGGGTGGGGGGGGCGGGGGAAACCGTCGCTCAAGGGGTGGCACCTCAAAACCCCGCCGTCCCGGGCCCCTCTTCAGCCGAGTCCGGCAGAAAGGCGTCCCTTCCGCCACCTCCCCAACTTCCAGACGCCCCCATCAGCGGCCCGGGGGTGGGCGCGGACTCCACGTGCGCACCGCCCGTGCCCAGTCGGCCAGGGCCGGGCCACTCACCCGGCCCCCAGCGGCGCTCCGCTTCCTCCGCAGCGTGAGCCCGCTCCGCAGCAGCGCGGGCAGGTCTCTCAGCCGCGGCCGCAGCGACGCCGGCGGCTGCTCGCGCTCGGGCTCCCGGGCGCTGGGGCTGCGGCGCAGGGCGCCGTCTGCCGCCACCACTGCCGCCGCGGCGGCTAGGGCCGGGCTCTCGCACGGCGGCTGCATCTTGACGGAGCCCACTGCCATCCTCATGCCCTGACGGCGCTGCGGCGCCGGGGGCTCCTCTCTCTACCGCGCTCGCCTCCGCGCGCCGTCCGCGCCTTCGCCAGGAAGCGAGAGGGCGCGACTGCGGCTCGGGCGCGGGGCGCGCTGCCAGCCGCTGCCCATTGGCGCGCGCCGCGGCCCCCGCGAGGCTCAGCCCCGCGCACCTCCCCTCCCCTCCCCTCCTCTCTCCGCCCCTCCCCGCCCAGGTGCGCCGGCCCTGCCCCGCCCCTCCCCGCCCTTTCGCCTGAGAACTCCGCCTGGGACCTGGCCCCCTCGGATCTCCCACTCGGGACCCAGGAGTCTTCCTCGGCACCGTGGGCACCGGCTCATCCACAGGTGCGAAATTCCCAGAATCTCCGCCAAGCCCGCTCTTCTGCCCTCTCCCCCTGTCCCCCTACCCCTTAGGCTGAAAAGTCCTGCTTCGCTTCACTTTTCCAAACAGCCAGGGGTTGACTTGGACCTCAACCAAGTGTGCTGAAGAGTCCGCCCTCCCGCACCTTTTGCACAGCCTGGCCCCTCATCGTAATCTTTACTCCTAGGAACTGTTTTGGCCAAGGAACTTCAAAATAGGCACGCTACAAGGCAAACACCATGAGGCAGAACTGCTTTGCGCTGACCCTTCTTGGCACACGCATCCTTAAAGGACGAAGGGAGACAACTTTTGTTGGTTATGATCGGTGTTGAGTAGAGTAGCTGCAAGTCTGGTGACCTGAAGGTGAATCTCTGTTAACATGTCAGAACCTGACCTTCCCTGAAAGCCCGCTGCTGTGATGAATGTGCTTGGTGAACTGTAAAGGCCTGCCGTGGTGTGAATCATTGTTTACACCCTTCCAGGAGGCAGGAATTCTGGATCATTGAGAGTGAAACTATTCCAGCAATGCCTTAAACGCCAGGGAGTGGGAATCTTCACATCCCAGCTCAATCTGTCTTCAACGAGGGCCAGCCAGGGTTTTGACTTCTCATCAGTGGGGTGCTGGGATCCCCATCTTTGTCTAAGACTTACAAAAGTTGAATAAGCTTATTCACATTTTTAAAAAATGACAAGTAAGAATCGTAGGAGGTCAGGGCCCAGAGTTGGTTTACCATTGTGCCCTCAGCCACTCACATGGTAGGTGCTTGGCAAATATATATAAAAACATGCCATGTAACAAAAAAGGAAGAACGAACTGTGACCTCTGCCCTTAAGGAAGGTAAGATTTAACCTAGGAGTAGATAAACATCCAGAAAAACAAAGATATTGCACTTGTACTCTTGCTAATTGCCAAGTAAGTGTAGGTAAGACCACTTCAGGCCACAGGAGAGAGAAATGCTTCTGGCCTGGGATGGGCAAAGCTAAATCCACAAAAGGAAGGAAGTTTAAACTGCACCTTAAGGGTGGGCGGGGAAGATTCAACCAGGCAGAAGGGAGGGTAAGTGTCCAAGTAAGGAAGAAAGACATGAGGCCGGGCGTGGTGGCTCACGCCTGTAATCCTAGCACTTTGGGAGGCCAAGGTGGGTGGATCACAAGGTCAGGAGATCGAGACCATCCTGGCTCACATGGTGAAACCCTGTCTCTCCTAAAAATACAAAAATTACCTGGGCGTGGTGGCGGGCACCTGTAGTCCCAGCTACTCAGGAGGCTGAGGCAGGAGAATGGCATGAACCCGGGAGGCAGAGCTTGCAGTGAGCTGAGATTGCACCACTGAACTCCAGCCTGGGCAACAGAGCGAGACTCAGTCTTGGAAAGGAAAGGAGGGGAGGGGAGGGGAGGGGAGGGGAGAAGAAAAGAAAAGAAGAAAGAAAGACATGAGAAAAACACCAAGGTGGTATCACACAGAACTCACTGGGCACTGAAAATATGTCATGGTAGTGAAGGGAAAGATGACATAATGAAAAAGTAAGAGAAAATACCACAATGGATGATGGTAACACACTGCAGAAGGCCTTAAACCCTGTCACCTTAAGCTGTGTGTGTTAACTGGAAAGGACTTTATAATAGGACTCCATAGTCCATTACAGTTTCCAAATACCCATCACATGCATTTATCCAAGGCTGAAATTGCACTTGTATGTTACCATGTCAGACTCTATCCGTTTTTACAGTGTTAAAATATTGCAGCTCCAGTTGGTAATTGGTCATTGTCTTGAGCCCCAGAGTGCCACTTACCCCCATACCTCCAACTTCTCCATGACTAAAGGGTGAACACCTGGCCCACTAGAAGTCCTCCAGGACATTCAGATTAGTGGGTGCTTGTGCCCTGTCACCCCTGATGACACCATTGAATCATACCATGAACCTACTCTACTCCAAAATAGAATACATGTTCTGTCTCCTGGTCCAGGTTCCTGGTCTTCACGCCCCTTCACACAGTTGCTCAATGCAAAGCCAACATTCCATAGATTCTATGGGACAGACCAAGCATCTAAAACTCAAGAAGGGCCTTTGGAGAACTGGTTTAGGTTAAGGTGATAAATGACAAATGCCATTTAGCCTCAGGATAAAAATAGGCAAACAACAGGGAATAGTAGGATGTGTACACAGAAGAGCCATGTCACCGTTTAACTCAAATCAAGCAACCTTTACACTCGCTGTGCCCTGTCTGGAATGAGAGTCCTCTGCAATGCTGTCCAACAGAACTTCCTGCAATGTGCATTTTCTGTTACCTGTTTTGCAGCTACTAGCCACATGTGACTGCTGAGCACTTGAAACATGGCTAGGGTGACTGAGGAACTGAATTTTTAACTTTGTTTAATTTTAATTCATAAAAATTTAGATAGCAGCATATGGCTAGTAGCTACCATATTGGATAGTGCAGTTCTAGAAATCCACATTTCTCTCAGTGTCTTCAGTTTTTAAATTCAAATGTCACCATTTCAGTGAGGCCTTCCATGACCATGTGATTTTAAATTGCAGTCTTTCCTATCCATTCCTGTCTTCATTCCCTTCCTAACGCCCCACAGAGCTTACACCATCCATATTCCATATATTTTACTTATTTACTTTGCCTATTGTCTGCCTCCCTATGACTAAAATGTGTATGCCATAAGGACAGGGCTTCTTTCCTCCTTTGTTCAGTATCTAGAACACATGAGTTGAATAATTGAATTATTTCATATATGAGAACTAAGTTTTTCAAACAGCTTAATCTGGATTTCTATACAAAATCTGATTTTGCAGTATGAAAGCTTATAAAAATGTAAATCATATAAAAATACATTAGAATGAATAAGATCTACTGCTGGTAGCACAATAGGGTGACTATAGTTAAAAATAATTTACTGTATATTTTTTAATAACTAAAGGAGTGGAATTGGAATGTTCCTAACACAAAGAAATGATCAATGCTTCAGGTGATGGATAGCCCAATGTCCCTGATTTGCTCATTACATATTCTATGCCTGTATCAAAATGTCACATGGACCCCATAAATATGTACAACTATGATTTACCCGTAAGAATAATAATTTTTTTTTTTTTTGAGATGGAATCTTGCTCTGTCACCAGGCTAGAGTGCAGTGGCACGATCTTGGCTCACCGCAACCTCTGTCTCCTGGGTTCAAGCAATTCTCATGCCTCAGCCTCCCGAGTAGCTGGGATTATAGGCACGCACCACCACACCCAGCTAATTTTTGTATTTTTAGTAGAGATGGGGTCTCACCATATTGGCCAGGGTGGTCTTGATCTCCTGACCTCATCATCCGCCCACCTTGGCCTCCCAAAGTGCTAGGATTACAGGCGTGGGCCACTGCGCCTGACCAAAAAAAAAAGTTTCAATGTAAATCATATTTGTGCCAAACCACGCAAATCAACGAGATCACTTGCCAGCCATTTGCAATTTTTCCTAGAGGATGGGGTACCAGAGCTGAATTTTACTTAAGAGAATGAGATCATCAAAGTCGAAGTGTGTATAAAGACCATGTGAGAAAACACAAATTTTAAGGGCTATTGGCAGGATAGGGAAATTGGAGAACAGGAAGATAGCTCTGACAATGAGCTAGCTACAAAGTGATGAGGGCCTGAATTCACTGTGGCAATGGAAACAGAAATGAGGGGTTAGATGTTAGACAGTACAAAAGAAGACTCCTCGGGCATCAGAGCAGTAGAAAAATACTTCAGATGGTGTTGTGGATTGTATTGTCCAAAAATGGACAGTTCGGCATCTCCTATCTCCCAGGCTCTTCTGCAATGTGATCTTGCCACTCCCCCATAAAGAAATAGAGTTTCTTTCTCCATCCCTTTGAATTTGAGCAGACTTTGTAATATAGGAGTTAAGAAGAAATCACTTAGGCAAATAGTGAGGGTATGGGAGTCCTTGGTAAGACTTTCCTTTATAATGAAAAGCAGTACCAAATCATTTTCCAACAAAGAGCAATCTGTAAAGTTGAGCTGCAGATACAGACAAGCAAGCTGGGAGCTTGCACGGGTGAATGCCAGCAGGAACTAGAGTCTAAACATGTTCAAGATGGCAGTTCCATCTTCCCTTTTCTCCTAGCCATGTGTACAGTGAGGAGCAGACAAGATGGTGCAGGCCAAAGGAAGAATTCATTTGCATAATAAGATTCGCATGGGGTGATCAGTCTTCCCCATATGCTGTGTAAACATCACACCTGATTGAACCATTCTGTGAGCCCTAGGTAAGTCAGACACTGCCCCTTCAAGCCAAACTATCAAATCTGGCACATCCACCACCAGCCAGTCTTTTCTGCTGGGAAGACCACCCCCCACCCCCCTATAGAGAGAGCAATTTTTCTTTCTCTTCTCTCCTGCTATTAAACCTCCACTCCTAAACCCCTCATGTGTGTTCGTGTCCTAAATTTTCCTGGCACAAGAGGCTGAACCCCGGATATATACCCCAGACCGTGTAGTCGTTTCACTTATGAATGATTCAGCCAATAGAATAAATAGAGGTGACTTCACCTGTTCTGTAAATAGCCCTTGGTTGGCCTGGCAGCTTCCACTTCCTGCTGTCTTGGATTGCTTGGTCTTGGGATGTGCCTACTCAGAACCTAGCCTCCTTGCAGGGAGAAGCCCAAGCCACATGGAAGCCCTGTAGAAGTGATCTGGCAGCTGAGCTCCCAGTAAACAACCAACATGAATTCCTGCCAATTTGGGAGCTACTTTGAACACAGTCCAGCTGAGCCTTCAGATGACTTCTGTACTAGTCATGTCTGACTGCAACCATAGGTGAGGAGCTCAAGAAAGAACTACCTAGCTAAGCCCCATCAACCCACCAAACTGTGAGAGATGATAAAGTGTTTGAAGCCACTAAGTCTAGAGGTATTTGTTACATAACCATAGATGACCAGGACCCATGGCTCGAAAAATGTGAAGAACATACTTCGTTGTGAATGAAAAGGATGGAAATTCATATTCATTTTTGTACGTGAATGAAGAAACTCTGGAAACTTTTTCAAGTCATTGGAATTGGGCATGTGGGGAAAGGAAAGGTGGGAGATTTTTCATGTACCACTTTTTATATTTTTTGTTTTTCAGAATATGGGAATATATTACCTATTTTTAAAAATAAAATTTTTTTAAATGGCTCCAGATTTAGAGAAGTCAAAGAGGTAGGGGAAACTGGTTTTGAGGGTTTCATTTTATATAGCAGTTATACCAACTAAAGGGTGCTCAGATTAAATTCCCACCAGCAAGAGAAGGAGGTGAGCTAGAACTGAAAAGACTGGAGAGAGACAAGCAAGCTGGGAGTTTGCACTAGTCAATGCCAGCAGGACATA